GTGTGGACTAAGGATCAGCTGCACAAATCTTGCATTTGGCAAATCTCATTAACAAGTCCCCAGAGAGCAACACAGACCACTGGGCCTCTCCCTGGGACCACCAGGGGTAGGGCCAGCCTCAGCCTGTAGCTCCACACCTGAGTCCCCTGCAGCCAACACAAAGATGATGCTGTCTCCAGCCAGAGATGAGTAAAGCCCTCCAGGAACACCTCAGCTTGCTCAGTTTCCTTGGTGAACATTACCTGGAGGAAATAACTTTTTGAAGAAACTCAAGATATGTGTGTCACAGTGACACAGCATGTGTCATATCTGATGTAGAAGGGACTTCAGGATTTTTGCCAGCTGCTGTTTACACAAGGCATTATTAGAATGGTGTCCCTGGGGGGCTGCAGATGGGGAAGGAGGTCGAAAACAGCTGTGGTGGTAAATATTAGATTTCTTTGTGCTCATATGTATGTCAGACAGAAGTGAAACTCAGACAATTAAGAATTTTCAGCTTTAGTAAGGACATGCTGACAAGATCATTAACATTTGATTTGTGTGGCACTGGATCACCTACCAGGCAGGAGCACATGATGGCACTTATGGTGAATTATCCAGAGTTCAGAGTTCCTAGTTATTTATACTGGCTTTATATTGTCTGGGGGGAACTAGTGTGGTATGGATAGAATATACTCAAAACCAATCAAAACTGGAATACTTTTTAAGCACATTCAAATCATGTGCCTGCAGCACTTTGCACCATAAGGCCGCAGGGTTTTGATGCAGTATTCAGTGCCCTAAAATATTCCTGTGTATTGCCTAACACAAGTCCAACTGCAAAGCTGATCTGCAGTAATGAAAGGTTTATACAGAATGTTCAGAAGCTCTTGTCCTTGTGAACAGCCACAACCATGTGTCAGAACCAGGTACACAGCCAAACATTTCTTGCAATACCTAAATACAGGTAAGAAATGTGTACACCAGCTGATGTGTGTGCGTCTAGGGCAGACAAAGGCCAGGAGAACAAGATTGTCATTCTGTCCTACAGGGCTGTTGAAATAGACTTCTGTCTACCCCCTGAAGGATGCTGCCAAGGGCAGCAGGGAAGAGGGATAGCTGCTCACATCCTGATTCCAAAACATAAAGAACAATCTCCTTTGGACAGTGTGGCTAATTTATTTAATGAGTCTTCCCTTCTAAATGGCTGTGAGTCAGCATCATGGAAGTGTGATTTCTTACTGATGTATGCACATAGCACCAATACTGCTATAAGAGATTATTGTTAAAAATGGCATGCAGAGCAAAGTAAGAAATGAAAAATGCCAAAGATTTCACTTAAAGTCTCTTACCAAACATTTTCTTAATACAACATAGAGAATTCTCTGTCTACAGTGACTATTAGCTTCTTTGCCTTCCCTTTTGAAATTGAGCTGCATTAGCTTGCCAACACAGTTAAGCTTGTCTACCAAAGCCATGGTACTGTACTTGTGGCCCATCTCATGTTTCCATTGTTACAGTGCACTTACCAATGCATCAGATCATCCCGGGATAATACTCACACATCCTGTGTACAGGAGTTACTCCCTGAGGGGCTGTCAGAACAGATTATTTATGCCAGCATTGCACAATTTTGCTACTGCAGTGCACAAATCTTATGCACTTTTAAAAACAGAAAGAAGATTATTTTTACAGCATGAACAGTCACATAGACTGGTAATGACTGAGTGCACAGAGCTGCACAAATATCACAAAGCAATGCCCTGTGCTACCTACAGAAACAGATATCTCTGTTGTTTATACTTACAAAGTGGGTACAAGCTCCTTCACTGAAGGATGAGCAGCTGTGGCTTCTCTGCTCTTCAGGCAAACATTAGATCAAAATGACACATGCTCTCCTTCTTTCTTTTTTCTTCTAATGTAAAAAATGAAGTTGGCCATGGTTGCCCTTGCATCATCTACACACATTTGAAATACTCTGTTCTGCTTTTGAACTGGAATTCTACACTTTTTAAAAACCACCTTGTGCTTTTATTAAAAACAAAAAACCCAACCCCCATGATTAGCACATATCAAACCATGGTTAGAAATCTCATTATTCTCACTTTATAGAGGGAGGAATCAAGGGCTAAGGATGCTGATTTCCAAAATGGTCTGATCTAAAACATTTTAGATCCAAGATCACCCTGTGTTGACATGGAGGTTGTCAGCCCTTGGTTATGGAAAGCCCTGCTATACGTGTCTGGTCCTGGGGGTTAAAGATTAAGTTCTCAAAGGCAGCCATCACTTTTGATAGTGTTTTGCCCTAAGAACATACAATGCACAAATAAGTAGATGGTAGGTTGAGAGTTGGATCTGTCTATCTATATTTCATGTTTATGACCTCTTTTACAGCTATAAAGAGGAACTATATAAGCTTTTTTGCTGTTCAGAATGAAATTGTACTAGAGAGACAGACTACTTTAAGATGATAAGAGTTATTGCTTTTGCCAAGCTCAGGGACATCAAGCCAGGATATCTTCAAATCCAGACCCCTGTAAGCAACAAAATACTGACCTTTTAATGACTGCTGGATCAGCTCTGTCACTTGAAAAAGAGATTGAAATGAGTTCTAAAATGAAAGTAGTTTTAACACTGCAGTTTCTAAATGGGTTGTAAAATAAGCTGGGACAAGTTTGCACAAGAAACACTTGCTCTTAAGAGTAAAACCATGGGACCTGAGCCAGGCCAGCTGTGCTAGCACTCCTCCTTCACTCCTCAGTGAGTGCCAGAAGCTACAGACTCTAGAGGTAGAAAACACGTTTCATTGCTCCTGTTTGATTCCCTTTAGGCTGACACATGGAGTGGAGTTGTCAGGCTTCACAGCAAGCTGCGTCTAGCCTTCTTTGGCTGCAGGGAGGGCTGCTGATACATCATGCTCTGAGTTTTGGCAAGACACATCACCAGTGTTAAAACAAAAGGAAGAGACTTCAGGTTACCAGCTGCCTAAGGGAAGGTTGCTTGCATCACCTGAGCTTACAAGCAGCAAGAGAAACAGGTCATGGGAAGGTCTCTATTCAGTTAGATGTAATAATTAGCTGTTCACAGGCTGAAGTGAAAGTTGCTCAAGTCTTGAAGTCAAGACTCAAGAGTGTGGGTGTCAAGAGATAAAAAAGGTCAATGATTAGGTCTGGACATTGTAATAATTAGCTGTTCACAGGCTGAAGTGAAAGTTGCTCAAGTCTTGAAGTCAAGACTCAAGAGTGTGAGTGTCAAGAGTTAAAAAAAAAGTCAATGATTAGGTCTGGACACAGAGCAAAACCTGGTGAAGTTGATGGGAAAGCAAACATGGATCACAGATTACTCATTTTAAATTATACACATTAAAAAAATCAGAAGAATTTTTCTACATGGTTTACCAAAAGAAACTGCCTCTTTTGATTAATTTGAAGAACAAAACCAAGATAATTTAAATATGGAGTAAGAACCAGGAAGGCAAATTAAAATACTTAAATTTGCTCTATAGGAAATAAAGAAGGAAGATGGTCAACCTCTCAAGTGTTACAGAAATGTGAAGTGACTTGAACTCAAAACTACTTAGACTTGTAATGTAGCACAAGCTTTAAATGCTTTTTTCTTTAAACAGCAGGATCCAATAAATTATACAGACAGTTACTGAGGGATACACACTTACATCAGTCCCTGCAAGTTTATATTCCAGAAAACTGGAAACAATCCTTCCCTACTTTTCCAGACTGTGAGTCTGTGAATGCAGCACAACTTTTTCTACACAGAGACCCATGTTTTCATTATTCTTTTATTTTTTCAACTCTCAAATGGAAATGCTGTTACTGGCCTAAGCATCTTAGCATTCTTACATCATATTGCCTTGAATACCTGTATGTTCAGCAATGAACCTAAAAAACATGAGGTAAAGACACTAGTAACTCAATGGTTGACATATTTATTGAAGTGCTTCCCCCACATAAGCTATTCCTAGTCCATAGCTATAAGGAGAAGTTCTAAAATGCAATTTTAATCAGGGCATAAAGAGGGATGTGAATTCCATTGTTCCAGGATAATTTATTGTGTTTTATCTTAAAAAATTAAAAAGAGACATGAAGAAATACAAAAATCTGCATATCAGGATGCTGTGATGTCCTACTATGTTTCTGCACTAAAGAATCAATTTCATCTCCAAATTCAGACAGCCCCAAACCATTTATAAAAACATTGTTGTGGTTTGGTAATTGAAAACCACCCTAAAAACATACGGAAATTATGTTTGGCCTGGTTTCCATACATATCAAAGAGGAAAGATTCCTGGCAAACCTGGAATATGTATTTTGAACATTGTATTTTTGCCAGCTGGCTTTTCACATTCTGTAGCAAGTTTGCACACTACTTTAGGAAATGTACTGAACTAGACCTGATTGAAAATTATGAAATAAATCACTGTAATGACAAACTCAACAACTTTATATGGTGAACCTAGCGGTTTCAAGTGTAATCGGCAAGTAAATTATACCAAAATTGTTGTCTTGATCGTGAAATTCATGAAGATGTGTGAAACTTGAAAACACGATCAATGCAGCACCTTTCTTCTGCTCCCCCGCTGCTGTTCACATGCAGAAGAACATTTTACTTTGCTCGTAAGGGTTTCCTTACAGATCGGTGCTCTCCCCTGCCTCACTCCGACAGTAACAAATTGTCGCTCCCCAGTCACACAGGGCCCCAGCGGACCTGGGCTGTGCTGGAGCGAGCGGGTCTGGCAGTGACATCCCTGCCGGGCCTGGAGGGGCTTTGCAGAGGCCGGGGACAAAGTCCTCGCTCAGGAGCAGAGCAGTTCTGTCCCCAGAAAGGCGCTGGTGACCGGGGCACGGGGAGGCTCGGCAGCCCGGGCAACAGCGAGGGCAAACACACCGCCCGGCCGCCCGTCTCTGCGCCTCTGCTCTTACCGCCCTCCCCGCGGGCAACAGCGAGGGCAAACACACCGCCCGGCCGCTCTCGGGCGGTGCGCACGTCTCTGCGCCTCTGTTCTTGCCACCCTCCCCGTTCTTTGTAATGTGACACAGTCCAAACCAGTCAGGATGGAGATTAGCAGGGGAAAGGCAGTGGGAAAAGCGACCCCCGAGGGAAGATCTGAACCAGAAGGTGGATTAGGATCTCCCGGCCGGGTGGGGCGGTCGGGTGAGGCGGCGAAGGCGGACCGCCGGCTGACACGCCATCGCAGAGGCTCCAGAAGGGTAAGAAGCTTGCTTTTTTCCTTTCCCGACACGCTATTTTTGTAGCAGCATAAAGCTGCACGCGTGCACACGTGAATTTTTTGTAAGCAGGCGCCCAAGATCCCGCAGGCCTTGCGATGCGTTAACACCGGGTGCCTCCCCGTTGTGCTTCCCCAGACACACAGCGCGCCGGCCGCACAGCACCGTTCTCGGGGTCAGTCTTTTAACGTGGACAACCCACGGCAGCATCGCTGCGAGCGGCGCCGGTACCCGGCCGCGGCTGCACCATGCCCGTGCGGTTCAGGGTGAGCCGAACGGGAGCGGGGCCCGGCGGGCCGGGCACGGCCCCGGGCGCAGGCGGCGGCGGGAGCGGGGCTGCGGCCGGCCCTGGGGTAGCGGGGAGGGGAAGGCCCCTGCGCTGCGGCACCGGCCAGTAAATTCAGGAGTTCTGTCCTTCCGCCGGGTGACAGCGGGTCCAGGCTGTGTCTGTTCCTGAAACCATTCACTTGAAGACATCAGATACATGTTGGGTATTTTTTATTACTATTATTTTTAAAAAATTATTTATTTTAATATTTTTTTGGTGCTTGAACTGCTTCCACGTTTTCTGAGCAGTACTTTTTGTTCTCCGACGGGGGTGAGTTTGGAAGATGCAGAGCAGCCTGCCAGCTTAGCTGACCCTGCAGCAGCGTGTTGGTGTTTTCCCTCCCCTTGGAGATCTCTTACCGGCGGGAGCAGTGAAGCAGGATGTGCACCGGTGCCTTGACAGACTCCTCTCTGTTTGCTGTAGGGACTGAGCGAATACAAGAGAAACTTCAGATGGAGAAGCCCCGAGTTTTGTAGCCCGTCCCAACAGCAGAAATCCTTGTGGGCAGGACTTCGGTCGGATCAGTTTGGTAAGTGCCCCTGGAAGCTGCTCCCTTGGTTGCAGCCAAGCTCCGGAAAGCTTCACTGCGATGAGTGCATGGCCACAGTGAACTGGTGGTGTTTACGGTCTGTGCACTTTGCAATTAAATTAAAACTGTAGTCTTGGTCATTATTTAGATAGAGTGTGATTTTGAACTCTATATTCTTTATGGCTACACTGAAACTTTCTTTTCAATTAGTGCTATTTATATAAGCCTTGGAAAAAAAGTAGTTTCTGACATGCGGCATAAACTAAGACCCAAACATGAAACACAGGTGCAGTGTTAACTCATACAGGGTGTGTCGAGGGTGGGATTGGTTTATTAGTGATGTATGGAAATAGTAAATAAAATTCCATTTTTAAGGGGAGACTTAACTTGGGGCAAAGTTTGATAGAGTAAAATTGTTATGAACCTAACAGGTACAGCTAACTGAAAGAGAAGGTCAGCCACTACAGTGAAAACCTTGTGATACTGTCGTGTAGGATTTAAGGATTGTAGACATTATCATGACAGGGAAATGTGGGAATAGAAAGCAGGAGGAAAAGGAATAGCAGTTGAGTTGAAAGGTCTGTAGGGAGCTATGGAAGAGAGGTAAGCTGAAGAGTGATGACAACTGCAGTGCTCTGAGAAAGAGTAGTGAAAAATAGTAATTATTGTAGTGGCGCAAGGCAGAGTAAGAAAAAATTGGTGCAGTTCACTGCAACTTCACTATGCAGTCTGTGGAATTAGAGTACAATGCATTCATTCTTATAATAATAAGTGTTCTAAATTATGGCCTTGTAATTAAGAACTGACTACTGGCAGTAGGGTTAACCACGTTCTTTTCACTGGCCGTTTGAGTTTTCTTGTTGTTCAACTCCCAGAATCAATTTGCACAGGGTTGTCCTGTGGACATTTTTGCTTTATAGGGTTTAATCCAGCATGGTTCTGGAGCACCGTGTTCTTGTCTGTTTAGTGGAAAGGAAAGTAATTTGCAGATAGGAAAGAACACAGAATTTCACAGCCATGCCCGTAATTCATAGTCTTATCACTGCTCCAAGCTTTCTAGTAATCAGTTGTGATAAACTTTCAGTTTATTGTTGTTGTAGAGTGATATTATGTCTTTAGTGAATGTTTCTGTTAAAGATAATATGGCTTTTTCTCAGGAATCACAAGAGAACCAAAATTCATTTCCAAGAGAAGGGTACCTTACCATAATCCACAGATTTCAAAGTCCCTTGAATGGCCAGCAGATTGTGATTTGAATGACCTGCTGGAGACTGAAGCTGCAGAGTTGCACACTGACCACGACAATGAGGATGGGAATGAGGAAAAACTTGAAACACCAGAAGGACCCAGACTCCCCCCAGAAGTTCAGTCACATGTGGTAGATTCAGATGGTGAAGTAGCTCTTGCTCTTGCAGAGAACAACATGAAGAAATCACTCTCAGAAGCTCCACCAAATCAAAATGAAGCAATTTCTTCTCCAAAAAAGAAATCAGAAAAAATGCATAATGGGGTAAGGGAATAGGCTTTTTTTTAAATTGACTAGTCTAAAAATTACTAACAGTAATTTCATACCCCTGCTCAGACTCTCTTGTTGTACTGTTTCTCTTTCCTTGGTTTTGTATTTTGATACTCTTGTAGCTTCTTTGTTGGGAGAATAGTATGTTTCTTAATTCAATAGAATTTGCTCTTCCTTTGCATCTTTGGAATGGGTCATCACTGCTGATTTAAATTAAAGAAGGATTTAGCCAATAATATATAGATTTTTGGGGTAGGTGACTATAGTGAGAAAATGTACTTTGCATTCATTTTGTTCTTGAAACCAAAACCCAAGCCATTGTTTTGAAAGTGTGTATAGAAAGATGTTTAAGTTGCAAAATATTGCAGGAAAGGGAACAATCATTGTATTTTTTTTCTCATTGTCAGTTTCACAGAGCCCTTCAGAGGAAAGCAGATGTAAGTATCCCCAGAAATTCTGAATATCAAAGCCAATTTGTTTGGAAGAGTCCTCATGAAAAGTCACCAATACTTGCAGCTGAACAGGTAACATTATAGAATCCAAAAAGCAAATTACTACTTTATGTATCAGCAAAGTTTTCCTTTCAAAAATATTTCCTTTTTTTGCTCTTTTGGTGGAGGAACGACAAACTTTAATGTTACATTTTTTTTTCTCTCTCACTGTACAAAAGTGTAGCATAATTGGATTTGTTTCCATGTGATTCTTTATTGTGGTCAGGCCCAAGTGTTTGTTCTCCTTGGGCCTTATATTTTGCTCTTTCTAACAGGGTCTGTTTCTAACTGTTCTTCTGTTTGCATTAATTTATCTGTTTTGCAACAGTTTCTTATTCTCATATTTTGCTCTTTCTAACAGGGTCCTGTTCTTCTGTTTGCATTAATTTATCTGTGTTGCAACAGTTTCTTAGTCTCCATCTCTGTGCACATACTAAGCCCTAAAGTGTGTCTCTCTGGTGTTTTATTCTTTCACGAGAACAGCTTATATTTAAAAATGGAATTTTTTGATTTTAAGATATTCGTGTGACATTTTAATACATCTCATGAGCTTTTGGGCTTGTTGAAAATGCTGGTTTTTCTGGTGAGACCACAAAGAGTAACTGAGTGTGAGACTGCTTTGTGTTTTCAATTAACTGCTACTGGGATCTTAGGAGATTTAGGATACTTACGAGACTCAGTCTTTCTGTCATTCTACAGTGTAAAGCAGGCACTTCTGCATTTGTCTTCTCTTTCTTCAGTAACATCTTTCAGAGGCAATAAATGTTGATAGCTAAGATAATCACTGTCCTGTCTTTTTCTGTTGGAGTACCAAGTAGGTGGGTTTATTGCAGGATATGTTTCCCAGCAGCCCCTTATCCAATGAAAACTCACTGCAATACATGATTGTACTATAGAGGAAGAGGCAGTTTCCAGAAAGTCATCTTATGGAAAAAGTAAAAGAGAATTCCATTTGATTCTGTGTGCAATCAGTTTGATAATTTCATTATTAATGCTTGTGAGCATTGTGCTTTTTTCAGAAGACTTTTTTTCACAGTTTTCACAGAAGAAAAAGAAACAATGAGAATAAGTCTGTAGGCACTATACATGTGTGGATAATTAGAACCTAGGAAAAAGTTAATGATAAAAATTATACATATTAACAAATTATTATTGTTCACTGTTGATATGATTGAGAATATATCTCAATACTGACAATCCCTTTCCCTTGAAGAGATTCTGTGAAAATATCAAAGTTATCCAAGTTAGGCTGTATTTCAGACCTAAATTCTCATAGTAAATCTATGGAAAATGTATGCTTCTCACATATGGCATGGTTTCGAAATTTGGACCCCTATGATCACATATGAGGCAAATTTTCTACCTTGATTTATAATACTGTGTTAGTTGAAAAGTGCATTTTAATTTGCCTGCTAAGCTCTAAGCATCCATCTCTAAAACTCAGAGCAGTTTTCTGTTACTTATGAACGGGACATGTACCAAGGACTCATATGGAAGTTTTATGACATGCCTTTAAAAAACCGTGATCCTACATACAGCTCTGAAGGTGAACAAAAAAGAAAATAAACAAATAAACAATACCTCTGATAGTAAATTTCAGTAAGAATAGTGTTTGATCACAGGTTTTACTGTGTCTGACTTGGTCACTTTTAAATGTATTTAAATTTCTCTTTAATTTCTCCTAGAAGTTCATTAGTCTACACATGCTGTATTTTTACAGATGACTGTCTCTGCTCATATGTGAGTGTATTTGTGTGAATAAGTTAACAGCTTTTGAAAATTTAGCCTTAAGGTAAACAAATCACACTTTGTTTTGTTTTCTTACTCCCACGCAGCTGATTTGCAACACAAAGAAATCCATACCTCCGGTTAAACCTCCTGCCATTACTTCTGAAGCTGCATATGAGAGAAATTCCAAGGGGTCTCCTGTTAAGAGTCCACAAGATAGAGATGGTTCAGAAGAAAAAGAATTTCTGGTGTGTTAACAAGTAAATACTTCTCAGAAAGAAAAGCTTTAGTAGTAGTTCTGCAGTTTTGATCTATTCTGTATGGGGGTGGGTTTAGGTTGAAATTATTCAGTTTTGCTAGTGACACTGGACTCAGTAGTGGTTTTGCTGTAAAAGACTGAAAATAATTCTGTACAGCTCTGCTTTTTTGGGGGCTCTGTAGAGCATTTTTCCAGTTTTAACTTTCTGAGTTTTAAGTGATTTTTTTTTTTGTTGTTGTTCCCAATTGACACTTGATTTTTAGTAGTTAGGATAGTTTCTGCAATCTAAATCTTTGATTTATACTCTCATTGGTACTAGTGTTGTATATTGTTGTGCAGTAGGGCTAAATGGGAGGTCTGGAACTTTTTGAGCATCATAAATCAGGGACAGTGAATTTTCTCCCCACAGTGGCAAGCAGTATCTCTGTATTCTTTCCATGTCACCTGACTTTGCTTCCACTGGGCATACATCTTTTTTTGCCTTTCTGAGTCAGCTCCCTTAGGACCTGTTCCAGAAAAGCTGTCATTCTGGTTTTATAGGAATCTTCTGGCCTGGGTCATACCAGCTGTGTGATGCTCCCAGTTAATCTGAGTCTCCTCACCACCTATCTCTGTTGCTGATAGAACAGAAGGGGCCATTGTGAGACAAGGTGTTCATTAGGACCAATGCTGGGCTGAAGGTGTATTTAACATGCAGTGCCTTGGCTTAAAGTGAGCCATTGGTACTTCTGAGGGGATTGCTGCCTTAGAGGTTTTATCATTCAAAACTCAGATCTGCCCAGTTCTTTAAATCCCATCTAGGGAGGAGAAATTTTATGTCCCCTTTTCCCTCTTAGTAGATATGAAAAAAGCTTGAAAAGCCTGAGGTTTTCAGGAAGAATTTTTCTGGATTTAATATTGGAATTTCAGGTCATTTTTTGAGAACAGCTAATAAATGAATAAGAGGAGTCATGAAAAGGGAATTTTTGTGAAAATGCCTGAAAACTTGTTTATACCAATACCTTGTCTCTGATGAATATATTGAAAAGATTTTGGGGGATTTTGGTAGGCTGTTAAATTTTTCTTAAAATTGAATTTGAACAATATCTGTGAAGATCTCTAGCATAATCAGAAGTCATGCATTGCATTTCTGAAACAATGAAATAATCAGGAAAAAAAAATCTTTGGTGTAAAACCCAAGCAAATCAATCTAAACATTTATAAAACAAATATTCTAAAATTTACCACTTGAACTCAGGTTAGAATGTGTAGATATCATATTATTTTATTGCTATGTTTCGTGTTGATTTAATTCTGTAAAGTGGTCAAAATGGATCATCTAGCTAGCAGAATGTTGCACTCAATTTTAACTTAGGCATTTTGCTAGTTTATTTTTATGTTAAAAAAGAATGTGGTATTCTTGTTGGTATTGAATATTCAAAACGGCTAACACAAAAATTAATTGTTTGCAAGTACTTGATGTCAAAAGAAATATGAGGGTTTTCAGATTGTTAGCTAATGTGGTATTTTTAAAATTATCTTTGCCTTAGAGTAAAAGGGAAGAACCGTTTCAAAAACCAGCAGAAGATGCAACAAAACAAGGGAAATCAGAACAGAAACATCCTAAACAAAATAATAAGCAACATATCAGTCCAAAGCCCCTCACTTTACATACAAGTCGTGGGTATGTATAAAATAGGAAAACCTAGACTAGTGAGTAGGTGTACAGCAGCCCAGTGTTTAGGATGATGGATTGTGGACATCCTTCAACCACACCATGCTGCAGTTGCAGGGGCAAATGTTCCTTGCAGTGCTGAGATTGAGCTGCTTGTGGGTACATCTAAACCTGATGTTAATTTCCTTCCTCTTCTCTGGGCACCAAAGTGGGAGCTTTGTGACCACTCCTGTTGAGCTGAACCTTGTGATGCAATAACAGTAGTAGTAATGAATACAACATGAACAAAATAGAATCAGTGCAGTGCTGCTGCTAAACTTTCAACTGGTGCTTTGGAAGCCATAGTCACCTTTCAAAGTACTTTTATCTACTGTGCCCACTCCACACCTTAAAACTGTGGTGGTTGTACTTGATGTCTGCTTATTCTGGTCTGTAAAGCCTTGTGTGCCTGAGTAACAAAAGCAAACACATAAGGAAAAAGAAAGAAATTTGTCCTGTTTAGATAATCTGGCAAGCATGGAAATGAAGTGAAATTGTATGTTACTGAGTGCTATCAAAGTATCTTTTTATTTCCACATGGCCGACATTACAAGAATTGAACTTGTATTTCCATTTCATACACATCTGAGATATGTCAATAAAAGCCAAGAAGTAGGCTTTAAAATGCATAGATTATTCCATCTCTCCTGTGTTTGTGCTTAATGTATCCCCCAACAATTGGTTTCATTCTTTGTGGCAGTGTTAAGGCATTAGATTGAAGATGGGAGAGGAGACTTACCTGTCTAAATGTTGTTGAATATTGGAAAGTGATTACAAAACGATCACCCAAAATCCTATGAAATAAAATTGTTTTATGGAAAAGTGAGTTGATATAGTATAGCTAAAACCTTTTAACTATTTGGGTTTCATACTCTTTGCAGTAGATTGTAGTCAATTTTGCAATGAGTAATGTGCAAAATTCTTGATCATTTGCTGGGGTTCTTTTCATCTAAGCGCAAATTTCTGCCTCTTATGCCTTCAGTGTAGTAGCACAAGACAAAATTCTCTTAAAAAATCACTGGGCAAATAGCTGTCAAAATGTGCAAGTTCTCAATATGCAGACAGGATTGTTACTTGTATGCAAGTTGTGTTGCAATGCATGGCCTGCTTTTGCAGCAGAATGACTGGGATCCAGGCTCAGCAGTATTGCGTTTTTTTTTGTTAATTCATTGGTTTTGCAACCAAAAGTGAAGGATTTCTGTCAGTTTTAAAGAAAAGGACATATTGAGAGAAATTTTGAATATAAAGCGTTTTTTGACCTTTATATTTTTCTTTTTACAAGGTTCATTTTATTCTCTGACTTAGGCTTTTGTGACCTATTTGTGAAGAAGGATTGAAAAATAGGGCTTTTCCACCCTGTGCTGATTATATAAAAATTAAGTTGGTAATGTTCTGCAGCATTATTAAATCCAAAAAAGTCTTTAGATTTAAGCTGATACATCCACAGTTCAGTGCTTAAGAACTCAAAGTGCTGCTTACTGCCTGCTATAGGTTATGTGATGTTAATTTTGCTGTGTTTGTATGTGTGTGGCAGAAAGGAAAAATGAGCCCATCTTCTCAAGTACTGAGGCCTTTTGAAGATCAAAGCCACTAGGACATAGATGAATTATAGTGACCAGTGTTCTGGCAGTCAGATGTTTCCAGCAGCTCACTCCACCCATGTGCAGAATGCCTTTAAATGGAGTTCATAGAAGGAAATGTCTCAGACACATTAATGCAAAACCATGCTTTTTTACTTAAATGTACCTTCATCAGTGACTTAAATCAAGGTCCCACACTTTGCATTGAAGTAATTGAGGTTGATGTGTGTATTATGTTCTGGCTGTCAGGGCAAAAGCTTCTGGTGGAAGTGTTGCAAGGAAAAAACAGTGGGAGTAAGTACTTGAAGGACCGCCAACTGTGAATGAGTATTCTTCACAGCTTTCCTGGTTGTGTTGGTTTGAGCTGTTGTTTGTGCATGTGGTTTTTGTGTCTCACTGGCATTTAGGTGCAAGTATCTTTATGCTTGTTGAGTAACTTTAAAAGTGCTCTTAAAGAATATTTTGGATATCAAACTTTACTCTTTTTTTTTCTCCTCATTCTTGATTTCTTAGGAAGATGAACACTGAATACAGGTCAAAATTTTTGTCTCCAGCCCAGTATTTCTACAAAGATGGAGTTTGGTCTCGTATTAAGAGTAAAGCTCACAACCAGGTGAGTATTCTTAGAAAATCTGAAGCCCGAGTATGCTTTGTAGTTTGATTTTTAGACGCAAAAACTTTGAATTGTGTTATTTATAAGATACAGCTTTCAGATTGTAGTGCTAATGACTCAAGCTCCCAAAGGTGAGTATGCAAAGAAAATTAGATTCTGACAAGTCAGTATAATACATAGGAGAAAAAAAAGAGATTATAAGACTAAAAAAATTTATTAATGTGACCTCCAAAGTGAGGGAGAAGTTTTGTTTCCCATACAATCAGGATCATTCAGAGTCCCTTGTGACAGGTAGTGTTATTCTTGATGTTCAGCCCAGTTGTAACAAGCAGAAGTGTTCAAAATACAGGGCTGAATGAATTCCCTTTTATTCCAAGGGAATAAAAACCAAAAAGGACAGCATACATATCAGCCTAGGTTGGCTTTATAATCAGGCTCAGTTCAGTAGCTTACCATGCATGAATCCATTCAAAGCAGTTTGCTGAATTCTGTCATACACAACATAAAATAGAGAATTTTTCTTGCAAGTTTCAGTCTGTGTATTTTCTTGTAGTTTATTCAGGAACTGCTATCCATGTTATACTGTATATGAAGTCATTTGACAGAACTGTGAAAATGCTGAGTAGCTTCAAGACATTTCTTAGCATTATTAAGTGTGATTCCTGAGTTAGTCAAGGAAATCAAAACCATTAATAGTGTGCTAAAAAACTAGCTAGAGCTAGCTCTGCAACTCTTGATTTCATTAAATTGATGAAGTCTTCTCCCAGCTGATAGAGGGAACCTTTGTGGGGCACCTGTGTGTCAAATACTTGGAAATGTGAATTTCCTCTTCAGTTTGGACCATGGTGATGTGGAAGGTAGAACTGGAGGAAATGGTTCTAGGGTGCTGGGCTTTGAGAATATAGGTTCTCTTTGAAAATAAGTTTCTCTGAGAGCTGCAGGAGTAGTCTGGTAGCTTTCAGTTCTGTGTTTTCTTGCTATATTTAATCTAGCAAGTAATTTTCCTTTTAGCAAAAAGAAAGAATTTCAGAATACATACAGAATCCATAATGAGAGATAGATCTCGATATTTAAAGTATATTAAAGTATGAGATGATTCATAATCAGAGTTTGTGTATGCATGCATGAGACAATCCATTCTTTGTAAACAGCTTCAAGAGGATGTTAGAGGACTGAAAAGCAAGATTTTAATTTTTATATGCATTGATATATGCATTAGATTTACTGTGACTAAGATTGCAAAATGTTATGAACTATTGCATAGAGCCTAAGTGGTATTCTGAATGTTTCTGTAGAATATGATGTTATTTTTCTGGCATATAATACTTTAATTTGTTGATACTGCATCATGAAACATTCAAACCAATAAAGAGCAGTGCTCAGCTTTGAGAGCAATTGAGTAGTAGGCAGCTAAAGGGTGGGCCTTGGGATATAGTGTGTTTGTGGCACAGTCAGCTGGGAGGAGTCACTGCAGTACAGTTGAGGAAAAGAAAGAGAAGACTGCAAGTGGAGGATGGATGTTCAACTTTACATGTAGCATTTAATTAGAGTGTATGAAAAATCAAGGATTTCCCACACTGTCAAGATTTTCTTGCTGAAAAGGGATTTGCAGGAAACTAGAAAGAAGTTACTTGGCATGTGGGTGACTTTCTGTCCAAAGCAGGCTTTCTGAAGTTCTGAGTCCAAACAGGCAAGTGCCATAATGGAATCCTGGTGTGACCTTAGCCATAGTGATTACTTGTAGGCTGCTTCTCTGCAATTTATTATTAAGGGTGCTTTTCAGCAGTTGAAGAAGAAAAAGTCTTTTCTAATTATGCTTTTGAAAAATTAATGTGGGCAATTCGTAATTGCAGTTGGACTCCCTAGGGCCTGTGTCCTGCTGAGTTAATGCTGCCTGCTGTGTTGCTGAAGGAGATGGTTGTCCTTTGTACTTCTTCACAATTCACAGGAGACTTAGTATCCTTCCTCCCCCTGTGGTACCCTGTTGCTCTGGATTTACATTCCTTCTGTTCTGGCTGTCATAATTAATTTTTTGTTCTTCTAGTTAAAGTGAGTGATCTGGTAAATCACTTGCACATCAAACTCTCCTTTGAAAATTACAGGCATATCTTTTTAATGGGCTATTTTTAGGAAGTTTAGTGGGTCAAATTGTGGGATGTTAGCTGGATATCCATCTGCTGCATCCAGTTACTTTTAGTGGGATTAGCTGAGTTTACCTCACTAACTCTGTTCCTTGCAAGAAGAATGATATGAAATCTATCCTGAAGGAAGAATAAAAAAGAAAAGCTATGAAAATGTGGTAGGAAATGTCAGTATTATTTTCCTGCCCTTTGACAAAATACTTATTTCCTGTGGACCATTTTTTAGTAAGTCAGAATTTACACGATATCACAAAATTGTTTTTAATAATTTAAACATAAACTTCTTGCTTTTGCTTTTTCTCCCTGCACTTTAATTTGGGTTTGGGTAGAGGACACAAGACAGCAAGTTTTTACAGTTTGTCTTAACTGTAAAAATGGTGGTGTATAATGTTTGAAGAGGGGGGTTATCACTTATTGTTTTGGAGTAAACCTGACGCCTGAACAGTTTTGTATCTCATTCTTGCAGTTTCTGATAGTCTAGAAGAATAATTTTGATACTATGTCTTGCGTACAATAGCACCCAGAGTTCTTTTATTAATCTTAACTTTTCACCGATGTTTATGAGGCTAGAGACAATTGTAGTTTTTGCAGCATACAAATTCAGTATTACACTTACACATAGATCTGCTGATTTGATTTTATCATAAGATAGAGTGGAATGTATTTTTGAGTGTTCATGTTTAGAAATCTAAATTAATTTCCTCAAGCTTTGCAAAAAACTGGCAGAATGCTAGTGCTGCCTGTACTTGTTAGAGAGCTATTTTTATTGAATCTCAGGGAGGCAGCATAGAGCTATGTTGACAGGTTTTTAGTATTTAGCTTCTTACTTAGAATGAAGTAAAGTTACAAAGGTGATAATAACAATGTCACTCTTGAGTGTTGAGAGGAAAAATAAGAAATGTAAAAATAACTCTGTATTCTTCTCTTTAGGCATCTCAAAACACCCTAAATTCCATGTGGTATATGGAGGTTGGTTGCATCCAAGTTCCTCTTTCAGTGTTTGGAGCACTGTGTCTGAGCGCTGATGGAAAAACTAGAATGCAGCACTAAGCTTATTCGTAGTTACTGCATAAATTTTTGTGCTCATGGAATGGATAATTGCCAATTTTGCTTTGGCTTCATGGCTCAAACATGCTTACTGAATATATTATATTTGCTTTCCTCTTCTTACATGTACTGTGGCATGCAATGCAATGTTTGTGCTGTGGCTGGCCCTGTATTATGTATTATAACTTGCTTTTCTCTTCTAGCTGCCAGTAGCTAATGCAAATATTTATAGTAGCCTAATAGTGAAGTTTAAACAGCTGTGAAACTTACAAAACCTTGATGTGCAGGTGAGAGAGCTTCGAGAAAGAGCAAAGGCTTACAGGCAGCGAGTAGAGGGAACACACTTCTCCCGGTACCATTTCAATCAGATCCTGTCTGATAATAACAGTCTTTGGGATGTGTCCTCAACTTCCAGTTCAGAAGAAGGAATCAGCAACAACATCAGAGCACTAGATCTTGCTGGGTAAGGTCATCATTCCTGCCTGTTACTCTGCAGCTTTAAAACTGAGCAAAATGCTGAATGTAGGCTTGTATGGAAATAGTTGTTTTTTGAGCACTACTCGTAATCTAATTTGCTGTTTAAATTGAAAATACACAAATTGAAATTTACGTTGCATTTTTGGAAATAGTAATGCAGAAGAGAGTCTTCATAAAATCTTGTTTGTAAACGGGACATGCTTAAGCATAGATAAAACTGCAGTGGCAATTTAACCATTCATCATGTCAACCATACTAGTTTTTAATGTCCGAGCTGTTCTTCTTGCACAGAACTGGATGAATGTGTTCTGTATAGACACATGTATATTTTGCAAATCAGTAATACAAAATACTCTGTTCTTTCTTACCCAGTATTTCTGAAAAAGAGGCTGCAGCAAGTCCTGAAGTGCTACAGCAGCCTGACTCCAGAGAGCAGGCTCATCAGAACAGCACAAAGAAAGACATGTCAGATGCTTTAACTCTTCCAGTCAAAAGACGTTTAGTTTGGGATGAACAAGAAGGTACTGAAGAAAGGGAAGATCAACAATCAACAGAAGAGAAAGAGGAAGAAAAATCAGATGAACAGGCTGCAATCATGGCCCAGCAATTAGTAGAAAACAATAAGGATGCTAAAGAAGATAAGAAAACTGAAGGGTAAGACTGAATTTTTTTTTGTATACACGTTTGTAGGTTAAATAGTTTTTGTATTTAAGAAAGTGTAAATTGGTGTGGCAGTACTCTTCTGTTTTGAACAGTATGATAAGGGATGAGAAGGTTTAAGGTGCTGAGCTGGTTGATGGAAGTGGGCCTATCATTAAAAATACTGGATTTCTAACTTGAAAGACAGAAGTTTGTAGACTCATGAATGATTCTAATGTTTTTCTCCAAAACTATGAAATATGCAGTATGGGCCTCTTAGAACAGACTGTTCATTACACAGCAGCCAAGTTGAGTGAAAATTAAAACTCACTATTTGTTTCAAGTTGACTGTGTAGGATTTGATAGGACAGGATACATGGTAATATTAAGGCATCTATTTTTCTTAAAAGATTTCATGGACAAAGATTAAGGACTTAGGAGAAAAAAAATAACTGATATCCAGTAACCACCAGTGATTATGTTGCTAAGCATGGGTGGGAAAAATGGGGAGGGGTGTATACAAATATTGGGAGATCAGCTCAGTAGGTGCATAGTATAGTATTTGACATTTCAGAAATTCGAATTGTATCTAGTTTCAGAAGTTTGTGGCTTTTTACTGAGCAAGTTTTGCATACCTTTTTTTTTGTAGAACAATATTTTAGTTTCATAGACATTTAATTCTGAATAGCTTTGACCCTTGTAACCATGTCAGCTACACATTTTATATTCCTCATTGCATTTTATCTTTGGTGTTGCAGCACTAATCAAAGGTAAGAAATTGTAATTGTCTCCATTTGGAGTAATACCATGTATTCAAGCCAAAAAAAATTGAGATGTTAGACTCGAACAGTTATTAAATGCAGGCTTTCAAAACCATCAGCTAGAAACCTTTCTAAGTTTCTGTTTAATTCTAGAGATGATCTAGTTCATAAATGTCTCTGATTGACATTGTCAATTTTCTGTCATCTTGCAGTGGGGTTCTGTGTAGAATTCATAAATGTCTCTGATTGACATTGTCAATTTTTTGTCATCTTGCAGTGGGGTTCTGGGATGTGCACTGGACTCAGCCATGCAGAGCAGCTTAATTCTTACATATTACACCTTCTTGAGAGCTAGAAATGAGGAATTCTTTGCCTAGCTGTGTCTATCATGTACTGGTAGAATCAGGTTTCTCCACATTGTGGATATGCTGCCACTTCCTTTTGAAATGCACCTGGAGGCAGAGGATTGAAGTGGTAGTACTGGTGTATATTATATATTCATATATCATGTAGGATATATATATATTTACATCATGTTATGCGATGTGTATTTAATAACCTTGGGGCTATAGCCATTACAGAAATCTGGGATATTTGGCTTCAGTTCTATCACACTGACTGAAGAATGTCAAACCCACACTCCCACCTCTAAGGCAGGAGCCATGTCCAAAGTTTTTCTGGGTTCAAAGACTCCTTCCTTAGCTAATCCTTTAATCATTACTCATTTTTTTCAGTGAGAATGCCTTGGTATTGAACACTTCTGCAGCTGTGTCAAATTCTTCTGTATCCTCAAGAAGAGGCAGCAAGCACCCGACTCTGAAGCTGAGAGCTCTTGCAGGAGCTCCAAGGACTCATCATGATCGCACTACCCCAGCTGTTGGTAAAAACACTTGTAAATGCAAAGCAGAATTTCAAGAACTAAAGAAAATATACATAATTGAATTAATTTATTAGGTTATTTAATGTAATAAGGCATTTTTAATCTTTTCCAATACAATAGGAGGTACTGTTCTAGCATCTGCTCCTAAGTTCAAATCTTCATCTTCACCTCAGAGAAGGCAACACTTAGCAACAGACCCTATGAAAAAAGAGTCCTTCCAGGTGAGCCAGAAAACAGACTTACCATTATGAATTTTAGGAATGCTCTTTTAAAGTAATAATTAACAATTTATTTAAGAAATCTTTTTCTTGAGTTGTTAGTTGCTGTCTTAAAATTGTCAGTATCTGTGACTAAAAAAGGCATGTCTGAATACTTAGGTTTGTTTGGGTGTCAAACAAAGGAGTTGGGACTACTGGAGTGAAATTAGATATGTTTCATTTTGGCCTCTTAGGCTAAATGCATATGATCCATTCAGAGAACAATAAAAAGGTTGCCAGTAGAATTTTCCCTTAATGTTGTTGAAGCCATTGACATATATCACTGAAGGGGTATTGGAGGCAGACAAAGGTGATACAGATACTCTGTCATCAGAAGGCATGAAAAGGCACTTTATTATTAGAAATCTACGGTTCTTATAGAAACAATGGTGGATCTAAGACTTGATTGCCCTCTAGGAATCTTCTCTCACCTATTGGTCAAGAAGGGACTACTCCTTCTTGTAAAAGTCTTTGACAAACAGAGATTGTCTGCCAGGTGCAGAGATTGAGATAGTAATTGTTTTAATTCTTTCTCTGAGCTTTCTCACAGCTTCCCAGGAAAATCCTGGGAGAGCTATGTCTCTCTGGTCAGAAGATATGGTTACCACAGACATAGGGCAGAACTCCAGATGCTTGAGTTGGAAGAAATTCAAGAGGGAGAGGTTGGGTGCTTATTTAAAAGATAGGTTAATGTTCCATAATAGTTTCACTTTTCCTTTACTTTTGTGCTGCTTTTACTTTCTTGCAGCTTTGGTTGTTACTAAAAGAAAAATAAACATTTAGGAGTTGTTATCCTCAAAATTTTGATAATTTTTTGTCAAGTTCTTCTTGTGCTGTTTTGTACAAACTGAGCTACCATTTGGCTGCATACATCCTCTGCGTGCCATCACTTTTCCTTTACTTTTGTGCTGCTTTTACTTTCTTGCAGCTTTGTTGTTACTAAAAGAAAAATAGAAATATTTAGGATAACATTTAGGATAACATTGTTATCCTCAAAATTTTGATAGTTTTTTGTGAAGTTCTTCTTGTGCTGTTTTCTACAAACTGAGCTGCCATTTGACTGCATACGTCCTCTGTAATAAGTTCTGTCATAGAAGCAGACACAATTGCATGAGTTGGTTATGTTGTTGTAAAATCTGAAAAATCACAGTTTTAGAAAGTAAGCTCTTGGTTTGACCTGATTAGATTACTTGCAGTGCATGTTAAATACTTTTTATTAGGAACAGATTTTCTTTACACTCACAAGCTTGGAATACTTTTTCTTTTAGTACTTGCATGAGAAGTATAAAAGTGTAAAGTCAACATTTACTGCATATGTGAGGGTCTGTACTTGAAGGTGGTATATGAGATGTGGTTTTGTGCTTTTTTTGATCCTTTTTTTTCTTTCTGTTATGTTTGTAGCCTGATGGGAAAGTGGAAGCCACTTCACTCTTTAACTCTGCACCTGCTGGGCTGGGAACTGTGGATCCTCTGCCACTTAGGCAGGACCAGTGGCCTCCTAACAGGGCTGCTGATGAGCAAGTTCCTCTTGCTTCAGCCCATCAAGAGCAGTCAAAGTCAGCAAAAAGCTGCTCTGTGCCTTGCTGGAGTCCCTCTCATCGTATTCAAGGGACTCTTAAGGATCCAGAATTCCAGCATAATGGTGAGTTTTGTCCATTAAGTCTGTGTTAGAGTGATGCGGGATGTAAACGATTACTGTGCAGTGCTTAGACAAAGAGATGCTGAGCTTGCTGCTTTACAGTATCTACAAAGAATGTGCTGTTTATAAACAAAAGCTTTTTAACTATATGGTTGGTTATTCTTGCTGAGCAAATGTGCACAACATCCACCTTAGCTTCAGATTCTACTGATATCACTATATTACAGTGATCAGTTTGGTGTCTGATTTTGTTTTATTAATTTCAATAAATACTACTCATCAGAATAAGTTAGTTCAGCATGAACAGCTCTAAATTTTAATATTTAAGCTGCAGCTGGATGGTGTGATGCTCTTCCAGCTGCAATTGCTAACTGTAGTGTGTAAGTGGGACCATTATGATGTAGTATTTTTTTGAAAGAGGTGTGGATTTCTGAGATGTAAGCTGTTAAAAATTTTTTCTGCAGGATAAGGAAACTATAAAACTGTCTCTAGGAGGTTTATTGGATATTGAGCAAAACCTTTTCTTGGCTGAGAAGGGATTTGTAATGAAGCATTTCAAAAGTTTTTAACAATGTTTAAAAGTACTGGGGATTCTAGTTCTGCACCTTCAGTGCAGTTCATTAAGTGACTTGTAGCATGTACCAAAGCATGGTGTCTTCAGAAGAATGCATTGGAGCAAGAGTGTTTTACCTCATCTTAGGGTAAAGGATTCTGGTGGAATTTTCAGGTTGGCTATTTATAAGACTCTTGTTTTGGAAATAATGTTACAACAGTTTTTTGATGTTCTAAAATTAAATATTATCCTTGGTCTGTTTCAAAATTATTCAAAACTGTGCCTTTTGACTTTTTGTCCTAGGGAATCTTGGCAATCCAAAAGTGAGAACTTTCCAGTTGCCCCTTCGGGAAAGAAACCGTAATGATGAAGGTATGTCTTGTTCCAAAGTATTATTGTAAATTGTGTATGTAAATAAAATTTAACTAAATAAATTTTAACTTTTGCATGAATGTGAGATGTTTCTGAATACAGTAATTCTGGTTTAGGTGTTTGCCTGAATAGCTACAGCATATTTTTGTCAAAATAATTTGAACATGTTCAACCTAGGAATCTGAAGTAGGAATATGAAGGTTTAGGGTAATACTAATAAACCATTAAATGTGGCTGAAAATTAACAGACCGTTGTGGCTCTCAGTATGGTTACCGTAGGTTTGTTAGTTCCATACCTTGAATTGTTTCCTGCCCACAGATTTTTAAGCCTTTGTGTTGATAGCAGCCAAAGAAAACTGCAACACAGCCCAAATTGCAGCTGGGGTACTTCCTTTGGTTGCAACTTTAAAGGTACCACAAACTTCAGGATAAAGGTTTTCCATCTGAGATTTTAGTCCCAGATGTGCAATATAAAATGATCCCTCTGACTTTAATTTTCCCACCTGTCCTCTGCTCAGTTTATTAGGGGTGCTTATGGCATGCTGCTATTCTGATTGCTTTTTTGAGCTTTTTTTAAATGTTTATTGTAAAGTTAATCTATGAGAACAGCCATTGCACAGCTGCATCTTCTTGGCCTTTTTGTGGGCAGACACAAACTCTTTCAGTAGCATGAGTCAACCAAAGGCACTGTATCTGCCATACACTTTTTCTTAGTGTGGTGTCTGAGGTTGAGCCTGGTGTGGTGCTGTGCTAGTTACAATCACCTGTGTTTGGTTCAGCTCAAGAGTATGGCAGAGCAGGTTTATATCTGAATCTGATTGCAGTTTATTTATAGTTATACCACCAAAAGCTTATTTTTGTACCCCTTGGCGCTTCTTTGCTCCTTGGGTTTCAACCAAGGTTCAGGCTGATTCTCTGTTTTACTCATTGCAGTTGGCTGCAAAATATGTGGGTGGTGCAGATGGCTCAGCCAAGCTTCTGTGCAACTGCATAAAACATGCAAAATCTTGTAGTACACTGCAGCTTGCTGCACACAGATTGCTGCCCACAGATTAAATGCTGTAGCGGCTGTTTCTTTTTTTTATTTTTCCCTGTGAGCTGAATGGTAATGTATGAACTTGCAGAAACAGGTGAAATGTGCCAGCTCACAGATACTTTGTGTGCCCATATTTGTTCAGGTACAAACCTGGGAGTTATTCCAATGACATGTCAGTTTGCAGAAGTGCAGTTCGCAGTTTTCTCACATAGTTGTTACACATAGTGTGTGATCCTGTTACAGGCTGTTAGGTTGCCTGTATTTCAAGAATTTAGAAACTCTGCTGAAAAGTTAATTCAAACACGGACAGAATATGGGTGCTGTTTGGATTGAGTTGAGGAATATTTTCCTGGATTTTTTTTTTTGTTGGTGAGGGGTCTGGTAGCTGATACAGTCCTTCCTAATCCATTGCAGGAGAATGCATATAATGAAGGTCATTTTTCCTAGAGAGCATCTTGACAGACCTGTGGCAACATTTTAATAATGCTGTTGAAGAATTATAATGTGCTTTATCAGGCAAGCAACATCAAGACTGATCAGTTTTAGGGGTTTTACTGTGTGTGAAATGGACCCTGTATTCAAAAGGAAGACCCTTCAAAAGTATATTTCTAAAGCCTGCTTCTTGTTGTCTTTGTGATAAGCTTCAGTTTTCCTCAGAAGACAAGCTCCTTTAGCAGCTTTTGGCACAGTAGCTGGATTTGGCACAGAAAGGCTCTTCTTGGTAACATGGGTTCTGCTATTTTAGTCATATTATTCTAAGGCTGTCTGCTCTGCTTGAAGCAGTGGATTGCTTTCAAGAATATGTCATTACCAGAGTCTAATCTATATAGATTTCAGTGGCAGAGGAGCAATTCCTGAGGTCTTCTGACACAGGAGAGTAAAGATCAAGGTGACTTGGAGAATTGGGCAATTCTGAGGAGAACACAGGGGTCTCACTCTGGAGTTTCTCAAGAGATGAGCACATAACTCTCTTAAACTTACCTAAGATACTAGAGGCTTCCTTGTGAGGCTCTTCTCCAGCATGTCAGTTGTCAAGTAATTGAATTGAAGTGTATTGTGGTATTATTTTAGCATCCATTGTGAAAGTGGGCATAAAAATATTCCAAAAATATCAGCTGTGTTTGAATATGCATGTTTAATCTTCCTATTGACTTTTTCCCTCTTGCTTTCCCCACAGATGACAGGTTGTCTCAGATTTCTGCTCGCTCGGCAGCATCTAGTTCTCTTGCGTCTCAGATACTGGAACGAGCTCAGAAGAGAAAGGATTTCTGGAGCAAGGCGTAGTCTCTCCTGCTGTTGTATAGAAACTATTCTGTCAAATGATGTATTTTGTGTAGCTTGTAGTGTACATTTAAAAAATTTGTGATTGTAGGTTTCACACAGCATCCTTTCACTTACCATTGACATGGCCCAAGTTTTAGGACTTGCCATCCCAGTTGAAAATGAAGTATTTAAACTGATGATGTTGAAAATGAATGTTCTTTATATCTGAGAGTTAGGTCTTAATTCGCTATGTTACAACAGCCTTGTGAGGCTTTATTTTTTTTACAGTGCCATGCCACCTTTTGACACTGAGATAATTATTTTTTTATGGAACCTGTGTGTGACTTTTCAAGGTGTTTGCTGCAGTTGTGCAGTATGACCTGGAACAGTATTCAGGCGTAATACCATCGTTCACCAAATGTCTCAGTTGCTTTATTTTATCAAGTTATCTTAAGTGCAGCTGTTGTATATGTGTTTATGTTACTGTATGAATTGTCAGCATAACACAGTGCTGTAACAAAGAGTTACTTTTACTACTTACTGCTTTTAACTTCTTACCAAAAAATTCCAATTTCTTAATGACACTAACATGGAGTGTCATTAAGTGTAGAACAAACAGGAGTTTAAGAAAAGCGAAGCATGATGGTTTATTCATTGTCCACAGGTTTTTGGCTGGGATGACTGTCAGGGTTTGGAGTCTACAGTAGTGTAGTTTGTCAGCTATACTGATATGAATACTTGTCTTGCGGAGTAAGACCCATGTTAGTGTTAATTTCAGCTTCTCTAGAAAAAGCAAATTCAGCCCTTTTAACCAGTGGTGTTCCCCACCTCCAGTTCAAGCTCAGGTATTTAGGACTAGTGATATCTTTAAGTAAACTCAAAAGAATGGTTTTTTCCTTGACTTTTATATTTTAATTACCTCTTATCTTAGTTTCCTGTTTTGGGGAGACTGATAGCATTATGATTGTTACAGTGAAAAGTGTTTGTGATTTATGCTGACAGCTCATTTTATCCAAGTGATGCAGACAAGTTAAAATGAAATAGAGGAAATAGGTGGCTAGCAAGCAGTTTAGCTCCCTGTGTGGCTTCAGGTTTTAATCCTACTTAGTATGGAAATTTTGTACAAGAACAATTTGAAATTTGTACACACTTGATTGCATTTTGATTTTGTATGTAATTGTGTATGTATATTACTGGAAATAAAAACGGTTGTTTGCTTTTTTCTATTTAAGTTATGCTGGATAATTTGGCAGAGCCTATTACATTGGCACTTCCCTGTTTAGTTCTCTGCTTCACCTGTTCAGCTCAAATATCTGTAGTCTTAAGAAAGACAAGATGTTACCTCAGAGCTGATCTTCAGAAAGACTAATTTATTGACACTAGATATGTTGACACTAGAAATCACAACTGACTACAGGTATTTTAAATGGTGAGTCGAAGCAGATGGGTGCTACACAGGCTGGAAAAGGCTGCAATGCCCAAAGGGTCAGTCCCATGATTTAAAGAGTGAGTGAATGAGTGCTGTCCAGTATTGATGATGTTAGAAAGGGATGTTCGCTTCTTCCACAAATTGTATGTTACAGTGGCTTCCTCCCAGCTGAGTTGTTTGAAACAAATCAAGGTATTTTATTTTATCTCAAGGGCTTCTGGGATTGTTCTGTGGTGTGCACTTAATGTGTAAGTTATAATTGGTCATAAAATTTCTACTGAAAGGGAAAATGTGCAACAGCGTTCGTGAAAATTTCCATTATTCCTCTAAAATGATGATTTTAGAGGAAACAAAAATGGAAATTTTAGAGCAAACTAAGTGGAAAACTTAATGGGCTAAAAGGGGAAATATTTTTGTTTGGGATGGTGTGTAACTGTGGTGTGTGTGCATTGATTTTGCAGTACCTATCTACATTATTCATATCAACATGTTCTTGTTTTCCTGGCCAAGAGCTCTCATCATCTGTTATTTCTCTGTGATACCTGTTAATTGACTTTTATGAACTGTGTCCTCTTTCTTTGTTTTTCTATGTTTGCCTAGTTTTCCTGGCTATCTGACAGCTCTGTCAGGAGTTTTTGTGCAGGTCTGATTTTGAGGCCTGTAAGTGGTAAATACTGTAACAGCATGTGTGCCAGTTTTGCTTACAGTGTTGTCTGTACACCAGTACAGGTGAGTGTGGTACACCTGAGGTAGCTCATAGATTGTTAGATGTGTGCAGTATGGTACGTGTGTATTGATTTCTGCCAGGGGAAGAATAGGTATGGTAAAGGAGGGAGACATTTTTGTTGCATAGCAGTACACACCAATTTAGATGTTAGAATGAAAGTTTATGGTGTCTCACACATCACTGGACATTATTTCCCGTCTAAACAACTTTTAGTATTTGTCTGAAATGTTCTAATTGAATTACTTTTGGACAGAAGTTTTCAAAGGAAAGTGTAGACAAAATACCTTGAGTTATGCTAGTGCGAAGCTTCTGAATTGTGTTCTGTAGTCTTCAAAGCAGATGTAAAATTCTTTATGCCTGTTCTCTGCTATTGTTGTTCAAGAGGAATTTTGGTTTTTCTAAATATTTCAGACCAGCCCTCAAACATATTTCCTGTTGTGCTTTCAAGCAAGCCAAACGTGGAAAAAATGTTCAAGAGAGCACCCTTTATTAAGAATTACAAGTGTGTGCTGTGCACTGAATGCGTATTGTTTTCTATCAAGGAAACTTTAGAAAAATAAGGAGGAAGGCAGTTGCCAATAGGAGATATATCTCAGGAATAAACAACCTTGTGAGCTTGTCAACTCAAGGTCAGGATTTACAAAACCAGCACAGTAATAACTAACCCAGTCAGTAAGTGTTGAATGTCTTCAGCTGCTGTTCCAAACTTGTCACCACTGGTCAAGGGAGGTGAGGGGAGACCTCATTGCAGTCTGCAACATCCTTATGAGGGGAAGAGGAGGGGCAGACACTGATCTCTTCAATGTGGTGCCCAGTGAGAGGACCCAAGGGAGTGGCCTAAGGATGTGTCAGGGGAGGTTTAGGTTGGATATAATTAAAAAGGTTCTTCATCCAGAGGGTGTTTGGGCACTGGAACAGGCTCCCCAGGGCAGTGGTCACAGCACCAAACCTGTCTGAGTCATTTGGACAATGCTCTCCATTGAGTGAGAGCATTATGGAGTGACTTGGGCATGGTACTGTGCAGGACCAGGAGTTGGACTTGGTGATGATCCTTGTGGGTCCCTTCCAACTCAGCTTACTCTCTGATCTCTAACTGGTTTTGCATATACAGTATGAATTTAGTCACAAAGCCACTCAGTAAGTAGTCTTCTAGTGATACTTTAATCAATGTGAGTATGTTGTATAGGGGTTTTTCGGCCTTTTTGGATTAATACATCCACATCTACTGTATTGCTGATGGGTTCCTGTGTGACAACAACCTTCTGAAAACAAGTTTGGCTTCACCAGTGTCAGGTAGCTGGAGTTCCTCTCTGCTCACAAGGGCCACAGCTCAAAACCCAGTGTGTGTTGCAGTAAAGTGAAAGGAAGTGAAATTATTTACCATCCACCAGCTTTCTTCTTCACTCAGAAATTCTTGGAGCCCAGGTACTAATATGTTGGTGTCATTGTTCTCTGGCAGATAACAGTGGAAGAAAAAGGGATTTCCAAATCCATAATACTCAATGAGCAAATCTGTAGTACTTGGAGATGGTGTAGGAAGCACAGCTTCTTTGACCAATTTACTGTGTGCTTATTTGCATGATGCAAATAAGCACACAGTAAATTGGTCAAATATTGATTGATTCTACCTTCCTGCTCTGCAAGGCTGAGCTGACACCTAATGTTCTGGTGGCGCAGCAATTCTTAACTATGTGGTAAAATTTGTCAGCAAAGAGCCCCATCTCTATTTGATGCACGTGGAAGTTTTGCTGTGACCTAGTTGACTAATTTTTACTGAAGCCTGAAGAAAAATGGTTTCTTTGCCTAGATGCACACAATTGTGTGATAAAGAGAACAAGCCAAACAGTTATTTTAATTGTCAGTGGCCTAAAATTAATGTCTTGATTCTAGCAATTATTCAGACCTTTGCAGTCCAGAGCCTGGGGAAGAGAGAATAGCATGGTGGAGCTGTAGTTAACTTTTAGTTATGGAGTTGTTTCTTTGGTTTTTTGTGCACTGGAACCCAGTGGGAAAGTATTAATCACAATAGCACTCATCACACCAAAAGTGAAACCTGAAGAGCAATCAGTGGATGGTAGGTAAGAAGAGAACTCCAGTTCCATGGTAATCCAAGTTTGGGTTTGCTTTTCGATTCAATTTTTGTATTGTGTTGGACATCTGGAGTTCCATGTAGAAATGTGAATGAACTTTCTAAATATACTAATATTTCCTACAGTTCATCTGTGTGGGACGTAAGCTGACCTTGTGAGGTTTCTCTTTCGCAGGCTGTGTCCTAGAGAAGCTTGTGGAGTGACTGAGGAAGCCTGAACTTGGCATGTCAAATGTGCTGTGCCTGGGAAACTGAAGGATAGCACTTGGTGTTCCTGGGTGGTGCCAAGTTAGGGTGGAGGACTGAGAACTGCACGAGCTTGGTGTGAAGACTGGCTGTCCTTTGGGAAAGCAAGCGAGGCCTGGTTTGCATACAGCTTTCACAGCTTCTGTTGGATCGCTCGTTGCATTCGTGGGGCTCTGTTAAAAGTGTAAGAGCAAGAGCACTCATTTGCCAAGAGCTTGCTCTTTGCAGGGAGAGTTGGGTGGTACAGCCGGGGCAGCAGATCCTGCTTAGCGTTGACGGTTCTTCAGTGGAGGGTGCAAAGAACAACTCAAGCTTCTTACTGCCCACTTTCTTCAGAGGTCATGATAATGTTTTCTAGTAAAGCATGTCAGCTTTGTAAATGTGACTGGCATTATATATATGCCAGGTAACCTTATGCCAAGGTAACTAAGCTAAGCCTGTAAAGGTTTCAAGTGGACCTCAGAGTTTTTCCTTTTAACTGTGTTTAATTCTGATATACACATATACTCTCTGTCTATGCATACATATGTGTGTGTGTACTGGAACAGTTATTTTTTTCCATAGTAGCTAGTATGGGGATCTGTTTTGAAATTGTGCTGAAGATAATGTTGATAACACAGAGGTGTTTTCTTTATTGCTGGGCACAAGATCAAGACCTTTTCTGCTCCTCGCCCTATTCCATTAACATGTAAGCTGAGGGTGTACAAGAAGTTGGGAGGGGACACAGCCAGGACAGCTGACACCAACTGACCAAGGGCATATCCCACACCATGTGGTGTCACACTCAGCATATAAAGCTGGGGAAGAGGAAGGAAGTAGGGAGATGTTCTGAGTGATGGTGTTTTTCTTCCAAAGTGACCATTATGTGTGATGGAGTCCTGCTTTCCTGGGGCTGGGCACCTGCCTGCCCATGGGAACTGGTGAATGAATTGCTCATTTTGCTTTGCTCCTCTGTGGATTTTGCTTTACTATTAAACTGTCTTTATCTCAACCCACAGGTTTTCTTACTTTTGTTCTTCTGAATCTCTTCCTCATCCCATTCCAGGGGAAGTGGGTGAGTGTCTGAGTGGGGCTTTGTTCTGGCTGTGATTAAATCTCAGCTGTGTGTACATATGTATATATACATGTATAATTTTTTCTGAAACTCAAGGTGTCTTTGTGTAATACTGTCATGTGCTGGGATGTCTCCAAAGCACCTACTTTAGGTTGTGAATTACAATAGAAATGGCTGGCAAGATCCAGAAAGCATGTACTTTTGGATTTCTCCTTTCTAGGCCCCTTTCTGCTTACTGGCTTGTTGTGACACATAAACTTAACCTGCAGATGCACTCTGCTCTGAAGAACTGGGTGCCCAGGTCTTGCAAGGTTGTCTGAGTGCACTTGGGAAACCTGCTGAGGCTCAGTGCTCCCCCAGCTAGAGTGGGCCTATGAGTTCCCAGAATGGTGCTCTCGTGAGGAATGCTTATTTGTGTTTCCAGTAGGAATCTGGCTCCAGCCTATTTGTGTATTTTAGCTTACACGACACATAGCTAAAAACAGATAACCCAGGAAAACAGCATCATAATCCCTATGCTGTAGCTATTTTTTCTGGCCCCGTAAATCTCACATTCTTGACAATGTTTCTCTTCTAAGAGGAAACTCATTGAGTCACAGAACTCTCTTGGGGAATTGTCAATAGCAGTCTGTGGAACCCTGATCTGGGGAAGGGCTGGGGCAGGGGCTGTTGGCTTCC